GAAAGTTTCTAGTAGAACAACACACGATTAAGTAGTTCTCATGAATATTAAGCTAGAAAAAGAAGGCAGGAATGCGTGATAACGTTGTTCAAGTGTGACTTTCGACGACCCATCTAATAAAGAAGTTGCCAACTTTATAGATCGACAACATTTTTATACAGTTTTTAATTGTTTACAGCAATAATAAGCAGATTATAAACAGATTTTTGTTTAGCTTACCAATTTTTAATGTCACATCTAACGGTCACCAAACTTTTTTCTTCTTTCCTTCTCTTCCTTTTTCTATCCTATCTTTCCGTCGTTTTAACAGTTTAACTGTGAACCAAAGCACAAACAGTGTTCAGATTCTTTGATAAATTGCAACAAAAATAAGAGTAGAAAAAAAAAAGGAACGGTGCTAACAATTATCAAATTTATCTTGTTATATATCCCAAATGAACAAGAAGCTAGAAAAAAAAATTCTTTTTCGATGAGCATTCTTTGAGCTATTATCAGTTTAGTTGCTGCTAGACGAAAACAGTTATAAGGTCAGTTTATAGTTTAAAGACAACAAAAAGAAAGCTAAAAAGAACTGTTTCTTTTTTTCTTTTTTAAATAAAATTTATTCCTAAATTTTTTAAATGTCTATTTGATTAACTTTTTTTTGTTGGCTGTTTTGTTTTGTTGCTTTTTTTTTTTCAGTTTTCTTAAGTGTCTTTGTAGTAACAAAAATTTATGCTTCTTCAACAATTTTTGTGTAAACAGTTTATTAAACCTTTAAACTGACGAAATTTATAAGTATCAGAAAAAGAAGAAGCAAAAAGAAAGAGGAAAAAGAGCAAAACTTCCGGTAGCTAACACTTAAAATACACTTTTTTATAGTGCTACTGTTCTTTCTTTTTTTTTTACAAGAAAATTATGATTCTCTTTTCTTCTTTTTTTTTGTTTTTTTACTGATATTGCCGCCGATAATAACAGTTGGTAGCAAATAGCAGTTTTCATCAAACACAACAATTTTACTTGGTGAACCTTTTTCCAGTTTGCTGTTTTTTCTGTTAGACAACAACAGTACAGCCAATAAATCTTATAATACACAATAAAACTAACAGTATTCGTCCTCCCTCCAACCCTTTCCCTCTCTCCTTATACCACAAAAAAAGAAAAAGGAAACGAGACCATAATAAAAGTCCTTTCACAGTGATAAAACAAACTAAAAAACAATTAAGCAGACTCTGTCTATCGTAGGCTTATTTGCTGTTTATATTTAGCACAAATATAACATGAAAAAAACTGATAATAATAATGACACTTACAGACCATTCTAAGGGCAGAAAGAATAGACTGAAGTTCAAAAAAAAATAACCGTTTTCTTGAAGAAAACCAATAAACAGTTTTTTTTTTTCTTTGACAGTTATCCCCTACCATTCAGCTTTGCTTCCCCTTTCCCTATCCTCGCTCACCAAATACGTTCGATAATTTTTTTTTTGTTGTTGTTAGACAATATCAGTTTTATGAAAAAAAATTGGCCGTTACTGAGACAAAAAAGTGGAAAAAAAGCGTCAATTTTGATGTTTACTGATATTTGTAAATACTTTTTTTGTTATCATTTGAATAGAAGCTTAAAATTAAAATAAACTTTTGTTATAAAATCTTTTGATTCAATTACAATGTTACCTATACTCAAACATATTTGGTATTCTTCTGTTTTTTTTTTCGAAACGTAACTTCCCTTTTACAGCTAGTTTTTTGTAAAATAAAACAGTTGAATATTCAATGACAATAATAATAAGAAGCACTTTTGATTAACCACTGATAACATTGGTGTACATCAACTAAAGCATAAATTTCACCTCCAATTAGCGACATTTCCAAAGTATGTTGTTAAAACTCAGTATTCTGGCCGTGTACATAACCTTTAACAAATTACTTTAATTCTAAGTACAATAATTATTTGCTTTTCTATTAATTGTTTATTCTATGTATTATGACAAAAAATTTTTTAGAAGCAATACAAAACAAAAACAGCAAGTAATGCTATTTCAAACGATCAAAATCGAATATTAATTAGAAAAATAAAAACGCTAAATAAGCAGTTCTTTCAGGGTTTTTTTTTTGACCGCTGACTGAAATACTCCCCAAATGAGAACAAAAATATAAAATTGAAAAAAAATGATAAAACCTTTAACACTTAAAATCACATTTAAGCAGAAGTTAACGCATCAGCAGATAACAGCAAATTTTTTCCAACCTATTTCTTCACTCTATTTAAAACTGTATTCTATTTCTGATGATAGCACCAAGGAGAAGAATTCTAGCCAAAGAGCGAATCTTTAGTTTAAAACTTTATCTATTTTTCCTATATCGGTTTAAGGCTACTGCAAAACTGTTTCATTCGAAAAGGTAAAAAGAATGCTCATAACAGAGATAAAAGCCCTAAAACAGCGGTCGATTGCCGGATGTTTAATTCAGTTATATATCCAAACAAACGAATTAAGCACTGAACTGATGACAGATCGATTATCCAAAATGAAGCAAACTGCTGTCGACAAAGGTTAAGCAGCTCGCTCAATGGTTAACAAAAACAAATGAATTATTCCATTGTCAATTGGTGTCAGCTGTACCGTTTTTTAACTGTTTGTTATCACACAACCAATACCCAACATAGAACAAAAAAAAAATTAGGAACTTTAGCATCAATTTTCCATCAAAAACTTCATTTCTTTCCAGTTTACATCATTGTTTTTTCTTTCGCTTTTACTGATAAGATCTAAACTTTTTTTTTTTAAACTGTCTAGTTGAAGACTTGCTTTTATGCCATTATAAAACCCTTTAGTAATGTATCATTGAAATACCTTTTACTAATGCTAAATGAATAGCAACCAACAGTAATTTTACAGTCAACTCTAAAAGTTTTACGCTTATTTCAAATATCATCAACTCAATCACGCTTTTTTTTTCTTTCTTTTCTTTCTCCCCCTTTCTCTTTTTCTTCCTTTATCAAGCAACAAAACAAAAAACTTAACGTTTTCATCGAAGCTTTGTTAAAACAAAAGAAGAGAAACCTACATGTTACTACTAGTTGATATTTCACAAGTTTTTTTTTATGTTTTTTAAGTTCAAAAATTTTTGCCCTCGACTTTTCAACTTAATAAAACGAATTTATTACCTTAGAATAAAATTGATGTACAGGCATCAACTGAACAGAGCAAAAAATACTTCGCTTTTTTTTCTGATAAAAAACTGAAGACAATTTTCGAAACGTAACAACTGATATGCAACAGAAAAAAAAGTAACGAATTGATATTATAATGAAACAGTAGAGTATTGTTAAATTGTTAAACCACAGATATTATTAAGCCATCCTGACCTCTCATCACTGGTCTGCTCAGGTTCGGCACATTCAAACAAAACTAGATAAATGAAGTTTCTTTTATGAACTTTTTTTTTCTGTGCATGTGTGTTTATATGTTAAACGTTGTCATCGCACATTATTTGACAATTTAGTTGCAGTATCTTTATTGTTGGAACTAATCAACAGCACATACCATTGTCCTCTAACCTAGCAGGAAAATGATGAGTTATTGTTGCACTTCTACTCTATCAACTTTGCAATCAAAGCAGCGGATATAAGCAACCAATGAATTGACAAAAATGATATTTACATAGACAAACATAGTTGTTCTTGCCCTCTATTTTAATCAAACCTAGTCCGGTCTTTTAAAAGTTCATTAGATAATAGGCCAAGGAAAAAGAAACTAGCTGAAAACATTTAAAACAGTCATTTTATGTCGTTATACTGTTTGTAACGAGGGTTCGGAATCCCTAAGGAATCGGTTGACAAACCCAGAACAAAGTATTCAGAGCTAGCGCGCATGGGGAAAAGAGGTGGTGGTTTGTAACCAGCACATTCCGTTGCCGGGAATCGAACCCGGGCCTTGCGGGTG